TTTATCACGTTTGTGAACAGGTTTTATCAATACATGCCAGAACGGGAATGAGTTTGACACCCCTGATGTAAAAGTTTAAACTGAGTTTAAAGTGGCAGCAAGAAAATATGCAGCTTTAAAAATATGTGATTGATATACTTTTATCTTTACGTTTATAGTGCAAAATCTCAGTTTGCTGCTCTATTGTGTATTGTGCTGTGTAATTTGCCCAGTTTTACAATAATACATTTTCTCAGTTGTAGACTTCTCCTTGCTTTATGATCATAATATATTAGTGGGCTGTGGATCTTTTGGTTTAATGAAAACATGAAAAGACAATGAAGAACCACAGAAAGCAGGGAATATATGGACAATTATAAGAAATAATTTGATTACTGCAAGAAACTCTGAAAGAAAACTATATTATGGCTCTGATATAATGTTATTATGTCCTGCTGACTAGTGCTGCAGATGCTGTGATTGATATGAAGCTCCTTGTGTTGACTTTGGCTTCCGGTCTGCAATGTTAAACTGTAACTACAGAATAAAGCCTGATGACAGCAGCACTGAACTCATCACAACGCAGAATGAGTTTTAATTAATACAAAACATCTAGAAGGTCTAAAGATAAAGCCTTCTTGTCTCTGTTACTTAATGGGACATAAATCCAAACTAACAAAGAATAAACCCAACATGTGACTGGAGTGTTATTTTACAGTTTTAAATACACTTCTATCAATTTCTAAAAGCCAGAGATCCTATTGACAGGGCAACATCTCCTTTTAAATGTAACACTCTTCTGTGTCTTGTCTCTGCTCAAATAAATCTGAAATAAACACAATTAAGAGGTGAGAATATCTTAGTCTTGCACTCCAGAAATCTTCTGTTTATGGAAGAGTGTCAGGAAGAAAAGCACTGAAATAAAGTCAAAATAATTCATATTGAAGAAGAAGCAAATATGTGGAAGAACATGCTCTGGTTAGATGAGATCTTGTAGGTTATGCAAAATGTTGCATGTATTGGAAATCTATCGCCACATGTTGTCCAATCGATCCCTTTTGTGAATAACAGCAGTGGCAGCATCATGCTGTGGAGAGGCTTTTATTCTGCAGAGGCAGAAAATAAAAGCTCTGATCTAAACCTAACCCATTCACTCTGCTACTGAAGTTACAAATAATTAAATCATCAAACAAAAACATACAAGAAAATATGCTTAGTACAAGACGAGCCATGAATTTAGTCATCATGTCTCCAACATGCAGCAAACTACTATGAAGGGTGTCTCGTTTTCCCTCATTAAAATGTTGTCAACAGCCACAGCAAGCGGCAGAAACACAAGTCTTGGCTTCGTTGATCTCATCAACTCCCTTTGCACCGACTCTTTGCCCGAGTGTCTGGCACTTTACGGTGACACAAAGCCTCAGTGGGCTTTGCCCTGCGTCTAATGTTGCCAGTCTAATGGAGGGCTTGCCAGCGAGTGAAACTGCCAGGGTGCCAATTAAGACACACGATTACGCACTGAGGCGTCCTTCTCATTTCCTCCTACTACATCCTTTCCTTTTGTTTCTTTTTCACAACAATTGCCGTCATAACACGTTGCTCTTGAGCCAGTTTCTCTCCTGCTCTGCTTCATCACCTGCTTGATTCTCTGTTCCGACTCCGCCTCACAGCTTGACTCTTTAGCGGGGGTAACGGGCCGGCGACCTGAGGAAACCCGTCATCACTCTACGGTGCTCGGCTACACGAAAACAGCCTTTGAGGAAGCGCCATCTGGTTTTTCACATCTCCCTCCCACTCGCTCTCTAAGGCCATCTTGAAACACTGAGGAAGCTTGCTGAGGTAATCACGGCCTCCAGCGTTGACACAGTAACCAAACGCTTCCCATAATTACACACGTTCGCTCATGATGTGGGGTGAGTTAGGGGTATTCACCGAGGAAAGGTTTGCAGGCTTTTGTAATCTGAGCTAACAGTTGAGTAAAGCCTCCACAGGCAAAGATTTCAACACAACTGTTAAATTAGGCTTCCCGCTTGTGTGAATAAAAAGCTTTAAAGGATTTCCAGATGAGCACCTGGAGCGTTGTTGTATTGCATTAGATTTTAATAAACAGAAAGGCCAATGAATTTTAAAGTGGCACTTCTGAGTGAGTTTTGTAATTATTTGCAACACAACAGGAAGGGGTGGTGGGTGGGGGGCAAAAACAAGTGAGGAGAGCAACCTGAATCCACCAGTTTTAAGTTATTGCTCACAAATTGTGGCTACACAAAAACATGTCTCAATGTTTTATTTTGTAACTTTTATTACTGCATTCATAGCACTTTTTTTCTAGTGTCAAGGTGGTACAGTCTGGACAAGTGGATTTTTTTTTTTCATTAAAACAAAAGAAAAATGAGAAAAAACAACCACGCTTTCTCAAACAATCACAACTTATGGAAATGTACAGCAGCTAATTAATCCAAGATCAATATTTTTGAATGGTTAGAGGCATTGGGAGGATCTGCATGTCTATGTGGAAAACAAACAAAAACAACTTTTTTGAATGTGAGGCCGAATTCAGCTCACAGTAACTATTTTTATATACGTCTCATAGCTGCAATAATTCCCAGATGATTTCAGCAGAAACACATATTTAAAAAAATAAGAAACTTCTCTAAAAATTTAAATCAGAAATTTATTTTGTAAAATGTAAAACTGAATATTGGAAAACTGAATCTAGAATAATAATAATAATAATAAATAAAATTTTTAAAAAATCAGATTTCAGCATTAGGAACAAGACTTTTTAAACTTGATTGCATTGTTTTATAATCAATAAAATACAAAAATAAACATGCCAAAGTGAAGTTCTTCCACATTGAGAGAAGTTCATTTGATGTGTGGGAGGCTGGTCAAGGTTTCCCCATTACTAAGTGATCAACAGCTCTGATCATGTATCTAATACTATCAACGCTTCTCATCTAATCTAACAAGTCATTCTCTAATAAAATTAAACCTTGAATGATGGCCTATAGGTGAGGTAATGTTTCCATGTGCGTCAATGTTGAATGAACTAAGCGTGGGAGATAGAAAGAGATGGACCGTCTGCATTCATCTATCCCTACTGAGGCCAAAATGATAATTTAGAAAGCAATCAGGAGCTCACTTCATCATGCTGAATATTATTAAGAAGAAACCTGGAAGGCTGTGTTATTCAGATCAAGCACGTCTACTGCCTAATTCAAAATTGGTTGTTAAAATTCAGATCATGAACGGATGAGAGAGGAACAGACAAGTTCGGGAGCTCATTGTTTTTGAGATCATGTCTTTTGTTGTGACATCAATTAACAAATAAAAAAAAAATAAAAATTGGGGAAACTGAAAAGTGACCACTGGATGATCTTTCAAGGAACCACAAAATACAACCCCATTCCCAGTCATCAAATGGAAATAAAGAATGAATGAAAAAGTTGTTTCTCTTCCTCTTCCTGGTTCTCATTCGGGCCGGTGATATTAGAAATGCATTAGCATGCACCTGTTTTTTTAATTAAGCTGCTAATTTAGTCTGGGGTTGACTGTCCTCATCAGCATGTGTGACAACAGCATCAGCTGATCTTCAGGAACCCTGAGCCATCGTTTTCTCGTCGTTTTTTTCTAAACTCCTAATATCCCTTCTCCACCCAGCAGTGAGCGGAGCGTCATTAAGAAGGCCTAGCTCGACTCTTCAATAATTAAAGAGCCAAAATCATGTAGAACTCACTAAGAACCTTTTCTGCCTTCTGTTGTACTTATGAGCCGTGAACTGATTAATATTTCATCTGTGCATGTGTACGGCAGCGCGTACGTGAGAAACAGAGAGAGAGAGAAAGAGAGACATGTGATTTGTTCTCTCATCGAGCGAGTCCTCTCGGAGTCAAACACATTTCCACTTTCTGCTCCACTGGTGACACACGTAGCGCTGCTAACAAAGTGAGAGACGTAAAATGTCCTGTAAGAGAGCAGCCTGTTAAAGGTAAGCACTTGTAGCTGGACTGCTGAACTCTGCTAAGAGAGAATGAAACCATAACAGATCACAAACGTCTTTAAAAAGGTATTTTGGAATTCTTAATAAAAATCTTTTTTAACTTGGAACAAGAAACAGGCAACGGGGCAGAACAACAAAAACCCAGGAGCTTAAATACAGAGGCAGGTGTGGGAATTGACAAACTAACCAATCAGAGGAAATGTGGTACAGCTATGACAAAGAGACAGCGGGGAACCTGAGGGAGGAGATGAATTAACACAGAGGGAGTTCAAGTCAGACTCCAAGGCATCCAGAACAAAGTAAAAGGTCTGACAATAATTTAAGAGAATGAAGTTCAAATGTACAAGGAACAGACTAAGAAACTAAACGCAAATAAATGAACTGGTACAGTAAAACATAGAGAACATTAATAAACACTAAAAAATTATCCAAACACCAAGACAAAAGAAAGCAAAAACCCAAATATCATGACAAACAAAGTTTGTTTCTCAGTTACACACAAATAAATAATCCTCATTGTGTTGTTTGTCTTTAATCATCTATTGTTTTATGTCATGGCGCTGGCACACTGATGAAGTTTTTATGAAAGTCTACTTTGTTATGTCACAATCACCTTCTTTGTACTCGTACCCTTCTTACAGTGAAGCACTCACTGCACCGCTTTTGGCCCTGATCTTAAACTAAACAAACCTTCAACAGAGTTTACTGACAGAATAAAATTTAATGAATTCAGCTCCGTGAGAGCGTCGAAAGATTGGATGAATGCCACAAAGTTTGCTTAAAACTATGACCGAAGTGGATTCAAATGTTTCAGATCAACAAATACATGCAGGAAACCTAGGAGTAGGTAAGTTGATGCTAAACCTTACAACGACAGGCAATTAAATAAAAGTCAAAGAATGAGTTGTTCTATTCGTTCATAACATCTCTCAGAACAATTATTCAGTTCGGTTCAAAATGCTAATCCCATCTCATCGACCACACATTTGTACGAGCATGATGATGATGATGATGGACTCACCCGCTGAGGACGACAATAAAATCCATGACGTTCCAGCCGTTCCTGAGGTAGGACCCTTTATGAAACACAAAGCCCAGAGCGATGATCTTTATCCCAGCCTCAAAACAGAACATCCCTATGAAGTAGGGCTCCGTCTTCTCCTGTTGGTGTGAAACAAAGTCGGACACGCATAAAGGACTCAAATGCGAAAGCAGCACACTTGTGATTTCTGTCTGTGTTTTAGTTTTCATGTCTGAGTGTCTCACCAGTCTCTTGGACATGGGGGTTTTGTCCTCACCAGGGAGGTGCTGCTCCAGGGCCAAGACGATGCAGTTGGCAATGATGGTAGCGAGGATCATGTACTCGAAAGGAGTGAAAGACTGAAGTTAAGGAGCTCAGCGTTGTGGATGGTGACAAAATTCATTTATAGTAAAGTAACACACAGACTGACAAAAACAGAAATAGAGGTGATTATTATTTTTTTTTAGTTACAAATTTGTATCTAAAAGAGGAGGGGTTTTAAACTACAGTCCTAGAGCCGATATCTTCTGACTTATCCCTGGTCTAACTCAGCCAAATCTATCGGCTGAATTAACACCAATAAAGTTCTGCAGACATAGTTTGACACCAGTGAATTAGAGCCCATCAGTACAAACACAGCTCCCTTCTTCAACTCAATTAACAAAAAGATAATTTAGCAATATAAAACCCACACCATAAAGTAATCAAACATAATCAACCTGCTGATTTATACATTTTGGGACTGAGAGGAGCCACTAATAAACAGCCTGTACCTTATATGGGATCAGCTGTAGCACAAAAATATGCAGAAATACACAAAAATGAGAGAGAGGCCCTGAGATATGATTGTATAAACAGGGTCAGTCCTACTATAAATGGCACATTGCATCTATTGTGAGAGCTGTGCGGGTTGCTGGTTAAAATCTGGCTGTTCTTTATCTAATGCTTTGTGTGGGTAGTTTCCTCTCACCTGGTTACGTGCAGAAGGCAGCTTAAAGAAAGAAGAACAGAGCACAGAGAAGAATGCACCAAGAGGAAGTGATAAACAAGAGGAGTAAGCTGATCACCGAAGGAGAAGATTATGTTATACAGAGAGTAAGATGCTTGTGAAACAGCGCGGCGAGGAGGAGGCGAGTGGAGCTGGACAGATCGATGTTGTGTTGGCAGTTTTATCCAGCAGGGTCACTCAGGAACAAATGAGTGATGAGAAGTTAAATAAAAAGAGCAAACAAAATACTCCTACAAGCCTATAGGGGCCGTGAGATAAAACAGGGTTGCACTTCAGATTGGCTGCTGGGAGAACAAAACAGCAGTAAACAACAGAAACAAGAAAATAAGTGTGAAAAGAGTCCCAGTGACCTGCTGCTGTATGAATTCTCACATGAAAGGTAGTTTGATTATTTTGCTACAGATGTTCATTTTAAGAAGCCTTTTAAATTTGATACTCGCTCCAATGCAACAACATAAGGAAGGGAAAGGAAAGTGAGGAAATGAAGATGGAAAGACAGGGGAGGAGGGTATCCAAGCAACAGCATCCTCTTCCAGCCACTGAAAGTCAGCATTACAAAACTGTTACTGGGCAGCTGAAGCGTGCCTGTGGAGGTATCTCATGTGCTGACACACTGAAGCTAGACTTTGACACCATGCATCGGACTAAATATCATAAGTATCAGCAAAGAATTGGTGAGAAATAAATGACAGTCACTACTGAATAAACAAATTACTCTTTCCAAGGTAGAACAATTAAAGGATTTCAATTACACCCCTTATTTTTTATTTATTTATTTGTTGTTGCTTATTTTGGCTAAATCCAAATGAGCAATGCAGAGGTGTTTTTATTATTATTATTATTATTATTGTGAAGGAAATAAAGAATAAGTAGACAACTTGTCAAAGAGGAGAAGATTTATAACCAATTTTTGGGGGAGGAAGTCGGCTGACAGGGCTTGAACTTTTTAAGGCTGGGAAGTAAAGACACTATCAAGGCACAGCTGAGATCTGCACAAAAATATCAACACTGCTGCTTTCCTGCTAATTTTTATAACTTAAAAAACAGGATTTGTCTCATCAGCAACATGTCCATCTACAAGAAAGAGCGCACTGTGTTTTTGTTTTTGACCGTTTCCATACCACTACACCTCCATACCACGAGACGGGATGATACTTCAGCTTTTTGTTGAATTTTTGCACATTAATACAAGCTAAATGCTATTCTACTTCCACAGAAAAGTATTGAAACAAGTAACTACTACAGTATTAACACACAAAAAGTAGTTCACGAAGTTCAAAGACAAACCGAACTGATGCGTCTGAACAAGAATTGTCAGCCTGTTCTAAACATTCATGATCTAATGGTGTTATAACGCCCACCTCTACAGGAAATGTGATGGGTGCTGCACCACTTTCCACTCGGTTTGCAAGAAACTTTACTTTATCATTATGCTCTGGACATGAGAAATAAAATGCATTGTAATCATCTGTTTTTATGTATAAAATGCCAGAAACTGCTCATTACTTGTGGGGGAAATCATTTAAAGTTTTATTGTAATAATATAATGATTTCAGAGGTCTACTTTTTATGTTTATATATTTATATTTTGGATCAAATCTGCATATATTTTTCTTACTCTCATCAAACTAAGTGATTGTTAACTTGAGAATACATGTATGTTATCAGATTGGACTTAATAACCTATCAGACATTTTTTTCAACCTTTGTTGAGAAATTCTACATGTTATGGTTTTGTGATTTTTCTTTGCCTTTTCTGCAGCTCCTGGGGGGAAACGTCTGACTTATTTTTGGTTGGCTATTCTTAGTGCTCCTATCTGACTTGCTTCCTATCTTCCCTGCATTTTCAGTAACTATGGGAAGTTTCCAGTTTCACCCTCAACAATTTCACTGCTTGTCCATCTGGAAAGTCTTTCCTAAAATAGCCCTGTAATGTTGAGGATCATTTAAATATTTACTGAAAATACTTTGTCGGTTCTTTACATAGAAAGCAGATAAGTCATTTAACCTAATTGTTATCCACTTAATGTTTTATCATAGTAAAACATTTACAATTTCCTTTACATACAGAAGTGACTTACTTGTGACATCAGATAGAAATACAGCTGATGCTTTCATTTCTCCTCTCTACTTTTTTCACTCTCACTACTCCTTAAAAAAAAAAAAAAACAAACAAAAAAAAACTTTACTCCCAGTTACAAACTTAACAAGTATCTCATCAGACCTCCTTGCTGCTCCGGGTGTCAGCTGACGTGCAATATTTGTCGTGATTCGTCTACCAGCTTCAGGAGCGAGGCGTCTCGTGAGCTTTCTGAGTCACAGTGACGCTGGCGCTCTGCCTCGACTCCTCAAACATGCGTGTAAAAATAGACGCAGAGACCGGAGTGTGATGCCCTGTGCATCTGTGAAAATGCTCAAACACAGACTGGATCCAAACCCCAGTGATTATTGTTGTTACGCCGAGGTGAAAATCAAAATGAAGCAAAGGCATCTGAGCCTGGTTTATTGGAAATCCGTAAATGATCTGAGCCATGTGTCGGGAGTATGAGCTGGAGCCAGCACTGAATAAATATGTACAGAAGAAAAGCCTTGTAATCTGAATTCCTAGGGAAATTGTTCTAAAAAAAAAAAAAAAAAAAGAGCAAAGCTTAAATTTGAATCGAAATGGTTAAACGCTTGTGGAATAAATATAAATATAACATTAAAATGTCAGACTCGGCAGAAGAGCTGTGCTAAAGCTTTGTCTGCATCCTGATTGTCACAAAAAAAATATTTCTATCAAAGGAAGGAACGTCTGTTTTCTTGCAATGAAGAGCTTGTTGAAAATCTTTCCACAACACAATCAGATCAGCATTTGGGCTGCTTATGCTGGTTGTGGGACTGTCTTTTCTCCCTTTGCAGTTGCTCTCTGGCCTCCATCAATTTTAAGGAAGATTACACTGTATCATTATTCTCCAAACAAGAAAAGCACAATTTACTTAAACTGTACGTTTTGAGGCTGCACAGTGGCGCAGTTGGTAGAGCTGTTGCCGTGCAGCAAGAAGGTTCTGGGTTCGATTCCCGGCCCCGGTCTTTCTGCATGGAGTTTGCATGTTCTCCCTGTGCATGCGTGGGTTTTCTCCGGGTACTCCGGTTTCCTCCCACAGTCCAAAAAACATGACTGTTAGGTTAATTGGTCTGTCTAAATTGCCCCTAGGTGTGTGTGCACATGGTTGTGTCTGTGTTGCCCTGCGACAGACTGGCAACCTGTCCAGGATGTACCCCGCCTCTCGCCCGGAACGTTAGCTGGAGATAGGCACCAGCACCCCTCCCGACCCCACTGAGGGACAAGGGTGTTCAGAAAATGGATGGATGTACATTTTGAAACATCAGAATTTAGAGAAAATTATTTGCTGCTGCCCCCAGCAGACAACCGGTCATAAATGCACTAGAGTTGCAGAAGCGTTCTATTTGTGTTAATAGTTCAGCAATGTTCACCGGAGGTAGGGTCAAACAAGCACTTGTTAGGTGAGCTGGTTTAAAGACAGCAGTTCATAGGAACGACGGTAACAACAGGGAGCTTAAAACAACCAAGGGGAGATTTTGATTATTAATGGATAAGGAACAAGATACATGAGCAGAAACCAAAGACTTAAACTCTCGCTGAGTCACACTGCACTGTTTTATCATGAAAGAACCTTAGCAGTGAAACAGACTGGCTGTTTGCCAATGCAGCACTCTCACAACCAAAAAACAAAACAACAAAACCTGCAACAAATATAAAACAGTTTAAGCCACTTTCTGGCAAAGTGCTGTGGTGTAACTACTGCTGCTGCAACTACAACAGATGTCTTGTTATTGCCTGTTTTTCACATCTGCCTCATCCTCTTCAACCTTCTCTACATCTCTTACCAATATGAATGTAAGCAGCCATAAGTTACTCGCACCATCTAGTATACATCAATCGATTTTTCTAATATCAAGTTAATGATAAGTATTAAATTGTCCTTTTTAAATCATATTGTGTGTGGCAATTATTCCTATGCAGAAACTAAAAGCATCCAAACAAACATAAAATCTAATTAAAACCCAAACCCGAATCATCCTTAAAGCAAAAACATAAATATAAAATCCATGAGCAAAAACCCAGATTTAAGCCAGACTTTCAGAGCTTAGTCATGGGATGATTATGGAAACTTATTTAGTTTCTCAAGTTTGAACCTTTTATACTGTTTTGAATGGTCATAAGGAAATCAGTGAAGAATACAAAAATAAATAAAAATCATCGTTTTGACATTCACAGAGAAATTAGTTTAGGATACAAGGAACACTGGGTCCATCAGGGTCATTTCCATCTTAATTG